ATCCCCAAATTGTAAATCTAACTCTTTGATTTAAATACTGATGCATATAATTAAGGTAATTGCTAAGTAGCAGCTTAAAACCCAATTATCAGATTGTATTTAACATCTTTAAGAGCATGATCATAAAGAGCTATATTTTTACACCCTCCCTTTTTTTAACATTTAGATTTTATAAGGGTTTTGTATCTTATCTGTCCATGTTGTTTTAAAAGAAATAAGGTTTTTAGGTAGGTGGAAAAGCATTTGTAGGAAATTAGATTTGAACGTAGACTAAGTGGTTGTTCAAGTTGTAATTGATGGCTTCCAGAGTACTATTTGAAGAATGTCTGTGAATATAGGTGTGGGTCCTACTCAGTGCCATAGATAGAGTCTTCTTTCTGTAGGTCACCATTACATAGTAATTTTGATTCTGAATTTCACATTAAATTATTTGAGTGTATACAGACCTAAATTTTAAAATCTGTATATATATTATTTTGGTGTATTAAGATTAATGAGTATTGCTGATTTAAATTTTATTTATGCACATACTTAAGGACAGAAATGTCCAGGAAAGTAATTGTTAAATAATGATATGTAACTTTTTAACTTTTTAAATAAATAACAAGATTTTTAATGTGTGTCTCCCTCAGGGTTGTTTAAAGTTTTTTTTCCTCCCTCAAATATAAATAGTGGTAACTATGTTTTGTATCTTCCAGCACCAACTGCTATAAAGCAATGCTGCAAATAATGCTTGAATAAAAATGGCTAAGCCGACAACAAAGTATATACTTTTTATATTAGTTTTATAGTCCTTGTATTCAAAAGCTTTCCAAATTGCACGTGCATTTAAACAAAACTGTTGCAGTTTTTACTGTATTTATTTTGTTTTCCCTGTTTATGAAAATACTGCACAGTTTCAAATGCATGGTAAAATATCAGTGTTTATATATTCTGCTTCCAAAATGACTATACATTCAATATTCAGAGAAGAGCAAAATTCAAGCTTTAGAAAACATTCTAAGATTTCTTGCATGTAATTTTGACATCTGAAAATAGGTTTTTGTATATTTATGGTGGGAGGTGGTTGGGAACTTTTAGCAAAATATGGGATGTTAATTTTTGTACAGTCTGGGTATTTACACATATTTTTAATGTATTAAAATTTGGTAATTATGTGCACATTAAATTAATAAGTAGTTAACTTCCTGTTATGATTTGTTAATTCCCTAAGACTTTGGAATTTTTTTAAGAAACTTTATATCAGAAATGATACCGCATCTTTATATTTTTAAAATTGTATTGCTGCTCAAGAATGGTACCCTGATGTCAAAAAGACATACATTCATAATTGTACATTCAGCACTGTAAATAGCCTTATGACGTCTTTTTTGATTGAAGCTATTCAAAATAAAAATGTAAATGAATGAAATGGCATTTCTCTTTTTTTGCGTCTTTATACATTTGTTTGGTTTTTAGTTACATGAATATTTCCCTCTCTGGATTTATTTTCCTACTTAATACTTTCTCATTTCCTTTTTTTTTTTTAAGCTCTGGGTTTTTAAAGGAAATAAATAGAGCATTCCACATAACTTTATGTCTGTGACTATCTGTGGAACTCTATCAGTCAGTTACAGTGGAGAGCCAAATATTAAGTGTCAGGAGGTCTGAGGGAAATGGCAAATTAATTGTAAGACCAAACCAAAAGCTAATATCATGTAAGACAATGTAAGTTTGATGTGAAGTGGCATCCACGGGTGCAAAAAAGAGCCCTCCAAGGAGAAGGACGCTGTGGAGCTAACTGCTGGTCATAGAGGCCTCAGACAAGGCAGATGTGTGTTGGGCCTTCGTGCTTGCGTAGGTGTTCGCTGGTACGGCTGGGTCTGCAGAAGACCTGCATCCTCTGCTGTCAGCTGTGTGGCTGGCTGTGCGTGATGGATCTGGGTGGTGTGAAGGCCTTGTTTGAGCCCAAGTTCTTCCATGCACTATGGCTTTTATGGCAGATGGTCATGTCCCCACAGCCTGCTGGTGTGAGCACAGCTCTTTCTGTCCTTCCTCTTCCCCACTACAGCACTGCCAGTCGCCGCCGTCTGAGTGTTTGTACATTGCAGAGAAGGACAGGAGTTCTAGGAGTTTGAGACTGTCTCTGTTCATAGGTAGGGTTGTGGTTACTCTGCAGAGAGATCCCTGCTGTGCCCTGGCCTCTGAGTCTCCCTTATGTAGGAAGAAAAGTATGACATCCAGGCAGATACCTGCTCTTGAATGGCCACATCCCATAGGCCAGGGTTCTGTGACTCACACAGAAGCTGTTCAGGACAGCAGATTTCTGACCTGGTTCATAGATCCCAGCCCCAAGGACTTGAACACTAGAGCTGTTAACCTCATTTCTCAAAATAATGCTTAATACCTTATTCCTTTGGTGGATGAACTCACAGTGTTCCTCCATCATCTGCAACATCTCTTCCCAGTTTTCCCTTGGGCAGTTTGAATGTCCTTGTCTCTTCAAAAAAAAACTTGGAGGCGATGCAGATTGGAGGTCTTCCTCGAGAAGTAGGCTAAAGAAGTTTCAGCAGAATCTGGCTCCAAGGTTTACTCTGATTATTCCACAGTACTTCCCAATCTATCTTACTACACTTGCTCCCTGGCATTTTCATGGGCACAGGGCCTTTCACTTGGCGTGCCTGTGCACGACTGACTTACGGGGTCACCAGGGTATCTGTTCTGGGCTCTGGAGTTCCCTCCCTTGGTTAAAGCTGGACGACGTCCTGCCATACCTGGCAGCGGCAGTGGCTTTCCCTGTGGTTTAGGACTTCATGACTTAGGAGTTAATTTCAGTCCGTTCAGCATTCACTGAGCTTTCACTACATTGGCTAAGTCAGAGGCTGATTGCCTTTTTCTTCTGCAAATGTCATGGATCAAAGAGTTCTTTCTCAACCAGGGTAAAATTTTAAACCCCTCCATACCACTCCACTGAGCAACTCCAGGGGTTAATGTTTATTCTTTCACAATTTAAGCACTGACTTCCCAGTATGCTTTAATACCTTTGTTTTTTTTTCCTTCAATAATGCCATTTTCCCTTCCAAATCACTATTTTTGCATTACAATTTATAAAAATATATTAGTGATATAAGCATGTTTAATAGAAATTTAAACCTCAGAGAAAGGTATGTAGGGAAGTCCACCTGTCTCCAGGTATCTTCCCCAAAAGGTGATTATTAAGGTTTCTTGGGTATATCATTCCAGAAAAAATATGAATATATTCCCATGTAAATACGTTTTGAAAAATGCTGCACAAGTGGAATTCCACTGTATATGCTCTGCTGCCCTTGTTTTCTGTCATTTGGTGTATCTTAGAAAGTTATGTCTGCTCTTGGAGCTCAGCTTTACGTAAAGTCTGCAAGGCATCCCATTGTATGCATGTACAATGCTGTAAACAGCCTGATCCCCGTTGATGGTCATTTAGGTTTGTTTCTCTTTCTGTTGTACAGTCCCACAATGAATGTCTTTGTGCACATATCTTAATGAGCATGTATGTATCCACAGGTTATATTTTTAAATCAGTGGAACTGGTGGACAAAGAATATATATATATTTTAAATTTGGTTGATGCTACTAAATTTTCCTCCGAAAAGTTTGCCCCAATTTATATGCCCACCAATGTAGTGTGAAAATGTCTATTCCTCACACTTTACAAAACACTAATTCTCAGTCTTTAAACATTAAAAGGTCATTTCAGTGTGGTACTGGCGCAGGGATTATCAAATAGCCAGGGGCAGGCCCACACTCATGAGATGCTGGCACCAACACTGCAGCTCTGAGGGGCCAGGGGTTTATGGAACTAGGGCTAGGACAGCTGGTTATCCTAGTGGAAGAAAAATAAAATGGGACTCAGCTCACATCATACACAAAAGTCAACTCTAGATGCATTCAAGACCTAAAAGCAAAGGGCAAAGCTATAAAAATAAAGGCATTATAGGGAAGTATATTTCTGATTTTGGAAGAAAGGGGGACTTATTTTAATAGGCACAAAATGACAAATTTTAAAAGATTGATAACTTTGACTACAATAAGACATATGTCAAAAGACCTCATAAAAATGGTGAAAAGGCAAACCACGAACTAGTTAGAAGGTACTTGTAACACCTATAACCAATGAAGGATTAGTATCCAAAATATGTAAAGAAGCCTCTAATTCAGGTTTTTTAAAGATATAAGCAAGCATACTTTGCACGAAGACAAACGGGCAAAAGAAAAATTTCTCAGAGGATGAAGAAGTGGCCCTTAAAATATGGAAAGATGTTCAAGGTCATTATTAAGGAAATGCAAAATTAAAACCACATTGACAGTCATTTCATATTAATTGCAAAAATGAAATTAAAAAATCATTTCCAAGCGTGGACAGAGCTGTGAAGCACGGAGACTGTGGTGCGCTGCCGGTGGCTTCGCGCCGGTGCCGTGGCTTCGGGAGGCAGTTTGACATCCCTGAGTTCACTGGAATGTGTGAACACCCTTCAGCCCAACCTGTGCTGCACAGCTGGACATATCTGACAATGTTTTCAGCCCTGTTATTCCTAGAAAGAAAGAAATGGAGTGGAGCCTTTGGGAATGGTCTTAACCTTATTCACCCAAGGGGTTGCGGCATTGGATTGAGAACTGGGGTGATGTGGCATGAAAAGGAAGCCCCAAGGAAGTGTGGCCCATCTAGGGGTGTGGTTGCTACTGGGACCCAGCTGTGTCACTAGGCTTGTCTAGCTAGCAGCACGGAGTTACATTGTGCCTTTTATGGAGAAACTTCTCTCCCTCCTGCTCTCATTCATTCAGCTTTGACAGCAGGACCTAGGTTGTGTATGATGTCTTCAGTTTGAAAACATTTGTCATTAAGAACCAGAATAGGCCCTCAGATAGGGCCCTTTCCATGACTGTTACTCTGCCAAAGTCTTTATCCTGAGGATGCAAGGGTACCGCCCTTTTCCTTTGGAAAGTGCTACATCACAGGCGAGGCCCTAAGCCTTTCAGTTGCTTTGGGGTGCAGCAGCATTTCAGGTAAGGCCAAATATTTTAAAAAGGAAATATGGGCAACTGGAGGGCTTGGCTAGTCTGTGTGCATACACAATAAAATTTAACTAGAAGAAATGATTTGTGTAAAATTATACCTGGTAAACATTGTTTTGGCAGTTAGTATGACTGTGTATATTTCACAGATAATTCAGTGTCAAGAGTATTATTTTTTTTATGCTCACCTGAGGACATTTTTTATTTCATTGCTTTAAGAGACAAAGGAGGGGGGAGAGGAACATTGATGCCAGAAGGAAGCGTAGATTGGGTGCCTCCCGTAGGGATCGTAGGTGCCCAGGCCAGAGATCGAACTGCAGCCGAGGTATGTGCCTTGACCAAGAATCAAACCGGCAACCTTTCCTTTGTGGGATGATGCTCCAACCAACTGAGCCACACTGGCCAGGGCCATGAGTGTTAATTTTTAAGCATCTTGGAAATGATAGCTTCTCAATTATAGCTCAGTCAGATATACTACTCTCAATTCTAGTTCTGTGACCCCCTAGTTAAATTACTGAACTTCCTTCATTCTTGGAGGATAATAATAGTATCTACACGGGGTTAGGTAAGGGTTAAGTGAATCGATTCAAATAAAGTGCTGGGCACAATGCATGGCATTTTAAAGTGGCAAGTAGTATTAACTGCTTTTTTTCAGGGTCGCCGAGGGTGTTCACTACCAGAGGGGGGCGCTAGTTGTTTTAGTAGAGTAGTTAGAATTGCGATAGAGCAGCACCGTGGTGATCAAAGAAATCAGGCAGTTACCGTTGTTAACAAACTTTGCTGCTCCCGTCGTGACTGGGTTATAGCCACCCCGGGGCAAGGTATAAAGTCACGAGCAGACCTATTTTATAATGGCCCTGCTCTGTGATGTCTGGAGCTTCGATGTGAAAATGATTATTTAATGAGTTTTCTGTATGTAAAGAAACACAATGTAAAGATAATTTACACAATGTAAATTATTTTTTACAAAATCTTTGTAAATATTTTTAAAGTTTTTTAAGCTTTCTAATAGCCTGAAAACGCTTTAATTTCAATGCTTTGTACTGAGAGTGGAAAATCAGTGAAACAAAGGAATGAGGCCTCATAGTGGAGAATGAATGAATGTCTTTTCACTCACCACTCAGGAAAATCTGCACATCTAAGGAGAGCGGATGAGTTAGTTGTATCTGGATCACATTCTGAGTCAGTGATAATACTGGCGAAGGAATCATGCCTCTGCAAAATTAAATTCCCAGGGTTACAAGCTCGAACATGAACGTTTGCCCTTGTGTGTTGTCCCCAGGTTTCAGACATGCCGAGGAGCACCCTGCTGTGCGCGGTGCTCTCGCTGCCGTGCGCGGTGCTCGCGCTCCTGCACGCCCAGCCCTTCCCCTGCCCGCCCGCCTGCAAGTGTCTGTTCCGGGACACCGCGCAGTGCTCCGGGGGCAACGTGGCGCGCGTTGCCGCCCTTGGCCTGCCCACCAACCTCACGCACCTCCTGCTTTTCCAAATGGGCCAAGGCACCTTGCAGAACCACAGCTTCAGGGGCATGACGGTCCTACAGCGCCTGATACTGTCAGACAGCAACATTTCCGCCATCGCCCCCGGCGTCTTCAACGACCTGATAAAACTTAAAACGCTGAGGTTGTCGCGCGACAAGATCACTCATCTTCCAGGTGCGCTCTTGAATAAGATGGTGCTGCTGGAACAGTTGTTTTTGAATCACAATGCGCTGAAGATCATTGACCAAACCATGTTTCAAAAACTGGTTAACCTGCAGGAGCTCTCTTTAAAACACAATCAACTCGTTTTCCTTCCTGCTAGGCTCTTCACACCTCTGGGGAACCTGAGATTGTTGGATTTATCGGAAAACAATTTGACTTACCTGCCCAAGGGATTGCTTGGGGCACAGGTTAAGCTTGAGAGACTTCTGCTCCACTCGAACCGGCTCATCTCTCTGGATTCGGGGCTACTGGATAGCCTGCGCTGCCTGATGGAGCTGCGGCTCGACAGAAACCACCTCCGTTCCATCGCTCCAGGGGCCTTCGACCGGCTCCACAACCTGAGCAGTTTGACTGTTTCCAGAAACCAGCTCGAGTTCCTGCCCACCGCGCTCTTTCTCCATTTGCACAATTTGACCTTCTTGACCCTGTTCGAGAACCCGCTGGAAGAGCTCCCGGAGGTGCTCTTCGGGGAGATGGAGGGCCTGCAGCAGCTGTGGCTAAATGGCACCCAGCTGCGCACCCTGCCCGCGGCAGTCTTCAGCAACTTGAGCCGCTTGTCTGCGTTAGGGGTGACCCTGAGCCCGCGTCTGAGCGCGCTCCCAGGGGGCGCCTTCCGCGGCCTCGGCAACCTCCGGGTGCTCGCTTTGCACTCCAATGGCCTGGCTTCTCTCCCCGACGGCCTGCTGCGAGGCCTCGGCGAGTTGCGCCAAGTGTCGCTGCGCCACAACAAGCTGCGGGCCCTGCCCCGCGCGCTCTTTCGCGACCTTCGCAGCCTGACGGAGGTCCAGCTTGACCATAACCAGCTGGAGACCATGCCTGGTGATGTGTTTGGATCTCTGCCCCGACTGGAGGAGGTCTCTTTGGGGCACAATCCCTGGCGCTGCGACTGTAGCCTGCGGCCGTTTCTGGCATGGCTACGACAGCACCCGGGCCTCCTGGGCAGAGCCGAGCCCCTGAAGTGCCACGGCCCTGGGCCGCGCGCTGGCCTGCCCCTCCAGGAGCTGCAGGACAGTGACCTGGAGTGCCCGAGCACCCTGGGTGGGTCTCCCCACCCTCCATCCCCGACCCGGCCGGCCCTGCAGGTGGCCCTCGGCCCCCCATATTTGGTGCCCAATAGCTCAGAACCCTGGGCATTGGCCCAGCCTGTAGCCGAGGGAAAGGGCCAAGACAATAGCCTGTTCTGGGGTCTTTATTTTCTGCTTTTAGCTGCTCAGGCCGTAGTAACTGGGGTCATTGTGTTTGCTATGATTAAACTCGGCCGGCTCTTTCCAAAATTAATCAGAGAGAAAGTTCTTGGTTGAGTCAATAAAAAAAAAACCCTCCACTTAATTAAAACATGACCAGAATATTGTTAGATGTGGTTCTGGGAGAATCCAGACAGGCTGTCTCTGTCTTCCTTTCTCATCTCCCTGTGGCCCTCTCCTCTCCCCCATATCCCGCCTCTCTGCCTCCTCCTCCTACGTCCCTTTTCGCAGAATAACCTTTACATTTGTAAATTGTGACTGCTTGCTTTACTTTATCCTTCCTTCCTCTCTGTGGTCCTGGGGATGTGGATTGTGTTTACCTCATCCTTGTGACTTTGTGCCCAGTTGGAGAGAGGGGTCTCTTCAACGTTTCTGAGGAAGGGTGAAGATGAGCCAGCCAGTTGCAGGCCAGGACCCGCTCCTGCACACAGATGTCTGGCAAATGTACAATAAATTAATGAAATGAATACACGCGATACGATTGATGGTGACTTTTCCTGGGGAAAGCATGGCTTGTTCTCTTTATCTACTTTTTCTTGGAAAAGCAGAACTCTTCCATCTCTTTCCCTTGTCCTATTTTTTTCTCACTATTTGTGTCTCTGTGGGCTATTTGGGAGAGTAACCCTTCTCCATTCATTCAGTGCATATTTTCAGAGTAGGCCTACTCAATGATAGGCCAAGAGACAAAAGAACACAGGGCCTTCCCTCCAGGAGTTCAGCACCCAGTGACAGGAGCCAGGACAGCGAGGTCAGGGCAGAGTGCCCAGGAGCAGGAGGAGGACCATGGGGAGGGTGGGTGGAGCAGAGATTTGAGAGAGAAGCTCACCAGGAGGTCTAAGTGTGTGTGCGCACGTGCGTGCATGTGCATGTCTGTGCATGCTCACGGGTTGGTGTGCAGGTGCGGGGATGGGGAGCATTGACCCAGAGAGTTCCTGCAAAGACTTCTGAAGCTGCTATGAGAGTAGTATGTCATTGATACTAGGTTAGTTTTCATTTTCTGAAACTAAATGCTGCCTCATTTCACAAGCATTTATGGAGTACCTAACATGGGGCAGGGGTTCATGAATATAATGACGAGCTTGGTTTCTAGTTTATTACGCTCGGATCACGTTCTCATTTATTCTGCCAACTGAAAGCAGTAAACTCTTGCTGCTTTCAATGGATGTCTGTGCTTGTGGCCAGCAGTGGTTAAAATAAGGGCTGGAGAGTTGACAACTGTGGGTTCAAATCCAAGCTCTACCACTTACTAATTGCATAGGACTTCAGGCAAGACAGTTAAATTCTCTGAACCTGGGCTTCCTCATCCCTGGGAAGGGATAAAGAATACCTACTCATAGAGTTGTGAGAATTAGAGGCATTAAAGCCTGTGATGACAGCCCAGCACCCTGCAAACAGTAAATGCGTAAATGTTAGCTCTTATTAAAGGGCAAGCAATTACTTGTAGGACTGCTGTCACGACTTCTAAAGAACTAAAGAAGAGCTCTGAGTTGCTTTTTCTTCTGTGTATATAATGGTGAGAACAAACTTCCTCAAATGGAAGGTTGCCTTCGACCAGTTTGTCTTCACGTATGGGTGCACTCGGCCTGTGCAGTCAGGCTCTGTTCTCACAATCAGAAGATCCAAAGCAGTGGATCTTCCAAACACCAACTGCACGTGGAATAGGAATTGCTGGGTTCCCAGCATTTGTAGGTGCACTTCTCCTTCAAGGTCAAGTTCATATGTCTCCTCCTGGTAAAAGCCTTTCCTGACTACTCAGATAGACTACAGTATTATTCCCCGCTCTATGTCCCCTCGAAGGCTGTCAGGCAATCGACACCCTCCCCACCCCATCTGCTCCTGGTCACCCTTCTCTTTGGTGTGTATATACGTTCCATGTGCCTCCTTGTCTAATTTATTTCCTCAGCTCCAAATTTTGCAACTACCTACAGCCTAAACCCCAGACATTTTTTATGAACTATGAACTCTAATCCTAGCCATTATGCCCTCAGGTAAGCTACCTAACTCTCTAAGCCTGTGTTTCCTCACCTGTAGAGTAAGGGTAATAATGGTCCTTACCATGGTTGCAAGGATGGAATGAAGCAATCCAGGCCAACTAGTTAAGTCAGTGGCTGCTGCATGTAGGGGTCAAAAGAAGTTGGCTGTTATAATGATCAGTTCTTTGAACACGGTATATTTTAACACGTCTTATTGCCTTTGTAGGTAGGTGTTCATTCATTCAGCAAATACTTATTTGAGTACATCCTCTGTTCTGGGTGCTCTTCTAAGTGGGGGGATAGAGCAGTGGTTAAAACAAAGTGCACACTTTCATTGTGTTTACACTTTCATGTCCCCTCCAGTGGAAACATCGTTCCTGAACTCAGGGCCATTATCTTTCAACATTCAGAAAAGAAAGAACAACTTCGGACACCTCAACTTACCTTATAAAATCTTTATACTTTGCCCTATTTGCTTCAGATTTTTTTTTAACAGAATAAAATATGACAGATGAAGTTGGAAGCTCCTGTACACATCTCTTCCCTGTTCTCTTCACTCTACTTGTGTCCTCACTGGTAATGCACTTAATAAATTAGGTCCTTCACATCCCAGGCGTGTTTTTGTACTCTTGCTGCATGTGTCTGTAATTCTGAACAAGGCTTTGCCTGTTTTTATATAAATGATGCTACTCCACATACAGCATTCTTCAACTGTCGTTGTCTGGGCTAACATATTGTTTTGAGATTAAGTCGTATGAAGCATTTGACTCTAGTTCATTTACTTTAATAGCTGCGTAATAGTCTATTGAATGAATACACCACGATTTATCTGTTCTCTTGTTGATGGACATTTATTGTGAGTGTTTTTCTTGACTTTTTATTCCCCATTACTCTACATCCTCCCCAGCTCTTAACAACGTCAGACTTTTTCATTTCCGTTAATCTGATAGATATGAAATGGTAACTTACTGTTGTTTTATCTTTCATTTCCCAGATAAATAGTGAAGCTAAATTTATTTTTAAAGGTTTATTGAACATTCAGAATTCTTCTTTTAAGAATTACCTGTGCATATACATTGACCAATTTATAATGGGGCATTTTGTCTTTTTCCTTTTGATTTGTAGGATTTTTTTTAACATATCTTGGACACTAATCCTCTGTAAATTACATGTTTTGCAGCTGTCCTTTTTCAGTTTGTGGCTTCTTATTTTACTTGCTTATACTGTCTTTTGTGGAACAGAAGATTTCATTTTAATCTAGTCAAACGTAGCAATATAATTTTGTGGTTTGGGCATTAAAAAAACTATCTTGTTTAAGAAATTCTTCGTATTGTGCCCCAGTGGCTCTTTGCTTCACATCGGGGGAGCGTGAGTGAGTTTCTCTCAGAATCCGGAGCCTTCCTATTCTAAGTCACAGTGGACAGCTGTGGCAGAAGGAAAGAGGTCGCGGCAACAAACAGGAGCAACTTTTGACCCAGGCAAACAGATAGAGCTTGGACCCAGTCAGAAACCAATCCTATCATCAGTGTAGGGACTCAATTACCTGTATTTCCTCCTTTTTCCTGAATCTATTGGGGTGACACTGGTTAACAAAATTATGCAGATTCCAGGTGCACAATCACACAACACATCGTCTGCACCCTGTATTGCATGCTCACCACCCCAAGTCAAGCTTTCATCCATCACCATTTAGCCTTCGATACCCTCCTCCACCCCCTCTGCCTCTGGCAACCACCACATTGTTGTTCGTGTCCATGAGTTTTTTTCTTTTATGCCCAATTTCTCTACCCTCCAACCCAGCCACCGGCCCCCACCCGCTGCCAACAGCAGTGAGCCTGCTCTCTATGAGGTTGTTACCATTTTGTTTGTTAGTTCATTTTGTTCATTAGATTCCATACATATATGAGTGAAATTATATGGTGTTTGTCTTTCTCTGACTGGCTTATTTCACATAATGTAATACTCCCCTTGTCCATCTATGCTATCTCAAAGGATAAGGTTTCTTTCTTTTTATGGACAAATACTATTCCATTGTGTAAATGTACTAAAGCTTTTTTATCTACTCATCTACTGATGGACACTCAGGCTGCTTCCAAATCTTGGCTATTGCAAATAATGTTGCAATGAACATAAGAGTATATATGTTCTTTTGAATTAGTGTTTCAGCTTTCTTTGGATATATTCCCAGAAGTGGAATTGCTGGGTCATAAGGCAGTTCCATTTTTAGTGTTTCTGAGGTAACTCCATACTGCTTTCCACAGTGGCTGCACCAGTGTGCATTCCCACTAATAGTGCAAAAGGGTTCCCCTTTCTCTGCATCCTTGCCAACACTTCTCCAAAGACAACATACAGATGGTCAATACACATATGAAAAGATGTTCAATGTCACTAATTGTTAGAGAAATACGAATTAAAACTGCAATGAGATATCACGTCCCACCTGTCAGAATGGCTATCATCAGTAAATCAGTTGCCTCTACTTTAACATGCACATGAGCCAACACATTGGGGTCCTAGAAAGATGACTTATTGGAAAGCTTCTCCTTCTGTGGCTTGTAAAGTATATAGCAGATGTTCTAGCTGCCCAAAGATAACCCTGGGAATTCATTCCACGGGTCCCAAGGACATTTCCCACGTCTTTAAATCCTTTGAAGTATGGAAACTGGATTCGATACAAATGCCACCATTGCAAAGACACAAATATGAGTTATGATTTATATGTTTTCCCCCCACTGGGTTGAGGCACTATCTTACAGGAGAGCAGCAGCCTTAATGGTAGGTACGTTATTATTGGGAAAAATTAATTCCCAATTAGGGAATTTCCTCTGAGTTACTGTGATGGAGGGACTCATTTCATTGGGCAGATAATGCAACCCACTTGTAATATTTGGCCTATTCTACAGCATTTTTATGGGGCCTCTCACCTCAGTTTTCTGGGTTGGTGGAACATACAGATGGTACAATTAAAACTCAACTAGGCCCTGGCTGGCATAGCTCAGTGGATTGAGCGCAGGCTGCGAACCAAAGTGTCACAGGTTTGATTCCCAGTCAGGGTACATGCCTGGGTTGCAGGCCATGACCCCCAGCAACTGCACATTGATGTTTCTCTCTCTCTCTCTTTCTCCCTCCCTTCCCTCTCTAAAAATAAATAAATAAAATCTTTAAAAAAAACTCAACTAGGTAAGTTTTCAGAAGCTTTCAATCTCCATCTGCCAAGCTCTCCATATAATGCTCTTTGACCTGAAATCTACTTCTTTCGGTAAGTGCAGAGCTTTTCTTATTAAATAGTCACTGGACACTCTATGCATCTAGATAAAGGGGAATATAAGCCAGCTTACTAAAAGGAGAAATTCTGCATTATGATCAAGAACTTGCTAACCAGCTTGTAGGGACTGATAGATTAGTGACATTCACTTCACAGCGTACTCC